AAAAACTGAAAAAAATCTTAATGGCCAATCCCCAACCCAGTACCAATTATATCAAATTCTCTGGGGTTGGGACTTGGGCATCAGTATTTTTTAAACCCCAAGAGATTCTGACTTAATGAGGTGCAGGCTGAGTACGGGGAGTTTGAACTGCTCCCCAGGTGATACTAATATGCGACAAAGTATGACAACCACAGTTCTATATGACATGGGACAAGATGCTTAACTTCCTTGCACATTGTGTAAATACTAGGTAATTTTAAATGTCTCTCTCACCTTAAAACTTCTGTGATTTTGTTATTAACAATCTTCCCAAATTGATTTCCTTCCTTTCTTCCTCCTCTGCCCTTCCTTCCTTTTCTCCTCCTCCTCTCTCTCTTCTTTTGGTGGAATAAGCTGAAATGTCAAAGTATCAAAATATATATCATCATTTTATTAAGATATTTAGTAAAATTTTCCAGGATGTCTCACAGATAAATGAGAGTTCTGATAGGTGAGTTTACCACCTAACTGAACGAATGTGCTCAGAGAGTATGAAGGCAACAGATCTGTGGTGATCAGGGAGGATGATTTGGAGTGGAATGCCGCAAAGCTTATCCTGCCCTTGGATCTGACCTTGTTAATTTTCTTTAGACATGATTTAGATAGGGAAGACACGAAAGAAGTGCCTATCAAATTTGGAAATAAGAGCCGAGCACAGTGGCTCATGCCTATAATCCCAGCACTTTGGGAGGCTGAGGTGGGCACGTTGCTTGAGGCCAGGAGTTTGAGACCAACTTGGGCAACATAGTGATACCTCGTGTCAACAAAAAAGTACAAAACTTAGCTGGGTATGGTGGCACATTCCTGTAGTTTCAGCTGCTCAGGAGGCTGAGGTGGGAGGATCACTTGAGCCCAGGAGGTGGAGGCTGCAGTGAGTCATGGTTGCACCACTGCACTCCAGCCTGGGTGACAGAGCAAGACCTTGTCTCAAAAAATAAATAAATAAAAATTTGGAAATAACCCAAAATTTAGGAATTTTAATTAATTCGATACATAATCAGGTTCACCTCTGGTCAGAAAATCTGTTTATTAAGCTTATTGTTATTTTCAAAATATTGCCATGGTTCAAATGTTTTGCTTATTTTACTTTTCCCTTTCCTCAGTTGAGTTGAAATTTTTAAGCTTTTAGTGTAGTACTAATGGAAAGATAGATATGTCAGTTGTTCTCCGACTTTGTTCCTGTCAAGAAATCAAACAGAGCTGGGCAAAGTGGCTCAGACCTGTAATCCCAGCACTTTGGGAGGATGAGGCCAGAGGGTCACTTGAGCCTAGGAGTTTGAGACCAGCCTCAGCAACATAGGGAGAACCTGTCTTGACAAAAAACTAAATTAGCCAGGTGTCATGGCACATGCTTGGGAGGTTAAGGCTGCAGTGAGCCGTGATTGTGCCACTACACTCCATCCTGGGTGATAGAGTGAGACCCTGTCTGGAAGAAAAAAAAGGAATACAAATATATTAGATCAGGTTGGTTTGGAATATCACAAAATAAAGGAAACATCACCCTAAAAAGTGACATGATGGTATACTACAGAAAGGAGTTTTGTTGAATACACCCATCAAGTGATTATGGGAGTCAGGGAGCTCATGGAAGGACTACAGAACACAAATTAGACTCCAGAGGGGCCTCGGCAGTACCTGGAGAGCTTGTTTAAAAGGATATTCTTGGCCAAGTGCAGTGGCTCATGCCTGTAATCCCAGCACTTTGTGAGGCCGAGGCAGGTGGATCACCTGAGGTCAAGAGTTCGAGACCATCCTGGCCAACCCCACAAAACTCAGTCTCTACTAAAAATACAAAAAATTAGCCAAGCATGGTGGCGCACACCTGTAGTCCCAGCTACTCAGGAGGCTGAGGCGGTAGTATCATCTGAGCCTGGGATGTTGAGGCTACAGTGAGCCGTGATCACACCATTGCACTCCAGCTTGGGCGACAGAGCGAGACTCCATCTGAAAAAATAAAAATAAAATAAAATAAAAGGGCATTCTCACAGATTACGATTCCTAAATTTGAGGGGAGGTTTCAAGCCTCCTTTTTTTTAAAACAAGTATCCCCAACTTATTCTGAGAAATACTGTCAAAGAACTCACTTTGAATTTTAGCATAATTGTTTAAATATGTTGTTTTTGTCTCATAGTCAGCTTCCAATTTGTGTTTTTAAAAGCCTAGATAGGTTGAATTACTTTGAGCTGAAAACCAAAACAGTTAATTATGCTCCTCCACATCCCATTCCCCGTATTTAAATTAGAAAATCGTGCACTCTCATATTTCCATTTTTCTTTTCATTTTGAATGCTCTATTTTATACAGAGCTGGATGTGACCTAGACATGGAGAAACTCATTTATGTCTAGCAGAGAAGCAGCCTATAGCTGCTCTGTAGCTGCTACTGTGTTTTGGAAAATAAACCAGGATTAGATTATGTCTGATCACTTTCGACATCACATGATGAACAGCGATTCAGAAGAAGCATAAAATGAATCCTGCTGAGCAGCCCCTCAGCTACCATGTGGTTAACTGGCAGTTTCCTTCCCTCCCTCCTGTCTTCCTCATTAGAATCTGTGACTGAAGAGGATCGGCTAAGAGTGGTTCCTTGCAGCTTAAAGGGAGGGACTTTTCACACTCTGTCTTAAAATCAGAAGTTGAATTTGTGAACACGTATGATTTAGATAGAAGTCATGGGATGCAACACTTCTTCAACGAGAATCAAGAATTCTCAGACATGTGAGTACTGGGAATGTGCCTGTGTTTATGAATGAAAAGGGGCAAATGAGCTGGTCTCACCCTCTCACCCTTTCTCATTTACTCCCACGATGCTCAAGCTGCCCTGTGTGATTTACACAAGGCATCGTTAGAGGAGCATAGGAAACTACATTTAGGAAGATGTAGCTTTGAATTTATGAAGTACCATAAAGTATTGTCTTAGAGATAGTTTATGATTGATTTAATTTCAGTCGAAAATGTACCAATATAAAATCTCAATTTAAAACTCAGTGGCAGGGAACAAGAAAGACACTGTAATTTATATATGTTTCTTTAATACTTTTATAAATAGTTATATGCATACTTTCGTGACATTTAGTAGCATCATTGAATTTTTATTAGATTTTATGACCCAATGATCACATTATTTCTGTATCTATTCAACACAGAACTTCATGAGATTTGCCTCGTGTTTTAAAAATATTCTAGGAGAATTGGGAGAATGCTAGATCATCTGTTTCCAAAAAAAGGCGTATTGTTTCTAAATAGATGTCATGCCTTTCTTTACCCCCATATAATGAGAAGCTTAAATATTCACTTTGTTTATTTTGTACTGAGGTTCTTATGGCTATTGGCATCCAGTTAAAACAAACTTGAGTGTTTAAGGGATAGAGCTTCCAACAAGCAAATTAAAATAAAAACAAATAAATAAGCCGAGACAATTACTATGAGTAATTTCCTCTTAAACTCCACTTCTTTGATGTCTCAGTTGTAGATAATTTCCCCAATTTCTATTCCAAACCTTGCTTTTGGAAGTTTATTCAGGCTTAAGGTGGAGAGTTTAGGATGTAGAATGTGTTATACTAAATAGCGTGGGATGTTTTCCTTCGGGTATCAAATGTTGTTCTCCTACCCAGCTGACTTGCGCTGATGATGTAGGAAACTCATCTCTGAAAGTAGGAAGGGACATAGGAGGTGTACTAACTCTTTCGAATCTTTAAGCATGACATGAAATAAATCTTTCAAAAACTCTGTCTGAACTCTACCACTATAGGAGCCATTTATTAACAGAGTAAAGAGAAATTATCTTTTTATATTTAGGATTACTAGATATAAAAAAGTTCTTTAAATTTAGCCAAATTTTTTAGGTTTAAAAAAAGGCCAAGTCCAACTTGTAAAAACAAATTCTCTCTCTTTTTGAAATACTTTTCAACTTATAAGCCATTGCATGTAAATGGAAATATAAGCTTCAATTTCTGGATTACTTTTTCTTTCAAATACCTGTGATTTATTGAGGGGAAATTCACCTATCATAAAATTAGCCATTGTAAAGTGAACAACTCAGTAGCAGTTGGTATGTTCACAGTGTTGTGCAATCACAACCCCTATCTACTTCTGAAACATTTCCAATACTCCAAAGTAAAATCCCTTATCCATTAAGCACTTTCTCTCTCCTCTCAGCCCCTGGCAACCACAAATCTACATTCAGCCTCTATGGATTTATCTATTCTGGACATTTCATGTAAATGGAGTTGTACATTACATGACCTTTTGTGTCTGTCTTTGTCCATGTTGTAGCATGTATCAATACTTTATTCCTTTTTGTTGCAGAATAATATTTCATGGTATGAATATGCCACATTGTGTTTATTCATTAATTGATAGACATTTGGATTGTTTCAGCTTGGGTGGTT